ATATAATATATTGCTTTAGGGTTGGCGCAACTCATTTTTAGATTAGCGCTGCTCACCACAGAATAACACATATATAAATGTCATTTTTGGGACGCAGATCAAAGAAGATGAATTTATCCCACTTCAAGTTTATGTCTTATAAATAAGGACTGCATTTTTATTATATAAGAAAACACACTCTGAACTCATCGTCTTGTCTTTAGCAGCTCAGCAGCCGTACATGATGTGTTTCCGGGTCAAGTTCTACCCCCACGAGCCGATGAAAATAAAGGAGGAGCTGACAAGGTAAAAGAAATACACAAGGATAATATTTATTTATTTATTTATTTATTTATTTATTTATTTATTTATTTATTTATTTATTTTTTTTGTGGTTGGTCAACCCAGAAAGAAGCTACCGATATAAGGTAGAACTTGAGACCAAATATATTCAGTGAAATCTCTCTTAACCTTAGCGACATATTTTCACAGGATGAGATAATTCAGAGTGAAAAGATTCGATTTTTGGATATTTCTATGTATTTCATTCTCCTACTTTGGTTTCTCCAGTTTTAAAACAAGCTGAAGACAAGTTAACTCCTGGTTTTATATGATCTCATTTGGAGGTTCGTCTGTATCCATAGCAACACGTGTCTCCAGTTTCCGGACCAACACAAGAACAAATTAGCATGTCAGCATCATGCCTGAACTGGCCTGTTACCATAGGAACGACAGTCTCTGCCGTATGTTCAACGTGTCTTTAGACAAATTTTAATGGTCGCTACAGAAACACGATCAGAACATCCCAAGTTCTGGATTGAAGCTATGAGCTTTCCTCTTCAACTGACTAGAATCATCATCATCATCATCATCATCATCATCATCATCATCATCATCATCATCATCATCACTTCATACAGCAACATGTTTTATAATCAGTGCTTATTATTTATTAATATAAGAAAAATACAGAAGTAGTTTAAATTAGAAAAATTTAATTTTCTGCTAAATAAAACTAAGTGTGAATGTTGAGTTCTGAAGGACTCAGCCGAACAGAAGCTGAAGTCAGTATAACAGTGGCTAAAAGTAACTAAAATTAGCTAAACATCTCTTAAAGGGACATTATCATGTAAAATCAACTTTTTTTGASTTTTATATCATGTTATAATGTTATACTCTCATAAAAACATGCCCAAAGTCTTGCTCTGACTCATTCATGAATGTTTGAGAAATCCTGCAGCGTTTTTAGACAGCCATGCTGAGGAGCAAAACGACAGGTGGGGACCAGAAATGCCTTTTGGGACCAGAAATGCCCCTGGGARGTGTCTTTAAGCTGAACTTCCTCATGGCAGAGACTCCTCCCCCACCCCACGTACCCCGCCCATGACTCCTGCAGGCTCTTGGGTGAAAGTGAAAGTGAAACTTAAACTGTATGTGGAGCTCCTAACACTACTCACTCAGTGAAGCTCTTTTCAGATTAAAAACACCTTTGAGGAAATGTATTTTCAGATGCCAAGTAAACAGCATCATGCCCCCCCCCCACCCACCACCGCACTAAAATGGGTGAGACAGAAGCAGAAGGTGGTTCTTAAAGAGACAGAGGCCAATTTCAAGGCATTTAGAAGTGGAAGTGTTGAGAAGATAAGTTTATTTTCTATTTAAACATAAAAACTGCATTTTTGTAACAGCTAAAGGTGACATAGATACTTTATTATGGTATAGCATTTAAAATATATGCCTGAGAAACCCATAATATTGCCCCTTTAAAAAAACATCATTTAATAAAATAACAGCTAAAAAGCTAAAATAAGATTACAAAACAGTGGCTCAGAGCAATTATTTCAGTAGCGTAAAGCTTAAATTTGCTAAACAATAGCTACAATTAGCAACACGGTAGCTAAAAGCAGCTCAGGAGGACACACATGCTAAAGTCAGTTTCAGAGAACAATGTTTTTGCAAAACATTGAAGAAATCTTAATGTAATGCTTTTGAGAAAATGTTTGTAAACCCCGTTAAATAAAGTAAAATGTACACTAATTGCAAATACAAATTTTCTGAAAGATAAAAATGTATTAAAAGAAATATAGACAAGAAAACAATAGTGCAAAAAACACGAGCATCTACACAAGGCTGATGTTTTGTCTCACCATACCTCTTAATTTAATTGTTGTTTTTGTGTTCATACTTCTGTGTGTGTGTGTGTGTGTGTGTG